CTATATCAATTTAATAAAATTTAAAAAATATATACTAACTAAAAAAATATTATATACAAAAAAAAAATTTATTCTGTAAATTATTAAGGATAGGAGGTAGTAGTTTAAAATTATATATAAGCCTAATAGTAATTTTTTTATATTTAATTTTGTAAAAAATTATATTAAGTAAACTAATTTTAATTTATAATAAAAGTTTGTAAAGTAGGTTTTTCTGATTCTAATAATAGTAAAATCATTAATATTGAGTAAAAACTCAGAAAGATATGACCTTTTAAAGATTAAGTATAAAAAATTATTAATAAAGTTAACTTATAGGGTTATGTAAATTAACCAATCAAATCTAATAATTTTGTGTAACCCCGGCAAATTTTGGGGAACCCCGGAAAACTTTGTACTATATACAAGTATGTTTTTCTAAAATAATACAATACTTCAAAATTTTATTATAATAGATAAATAATTTTATTTATAATATTATAAAGTTTTTTTGTTGATTAATTAAAAAAAATTTTTTTATTAGTAGCATATATCAATTTTAGATGAAAATTTTAAAATACCATACATTTTTATATAGAAATAATCTACATTACTCTCTACTTTTAAAAAATTAAAAAAATAAATAAAGTTGAATTAAAGCAACAAATTAAATAATTAAAATACAACAAAAAATACTTTAAAAATAAATAAAATTCACTATTAATATTTAAAAAAAAAATAAATAAAATATACTTTTAAAGCATTCTAAGTAATCTTTTAACATATTTAAAAAAAATAAAAATTTTAATATTATATTATAAAGCTTTAAAAACACAATTAATAATTACTTAGTATTTTATCTAATGAAAAAGATTTTTTATAAGATTTCAATATACACAACCAATCTTTTTTTATTTCTTATATTACAAGCCTTATTAAATAAAAAAACTTAAAACAAAAAAAGAACTAGAAGCAAATTCTTTTTTATTAAAAAAAAATAAAACTAATTATTTAATTATATCTTTTTTTTATTTTTTATACTTATTATAAAAATTTATTAAAAAGTAAACAATTCAGCTTATTCTTTACAAAATCTCAAATAATATTATATATCTCAAACATCAAACAAATATAAAAAAATTTATTAATTCTTTTATATTCTAGTTTTAGTCTTATATATTATCTAATTCACTATATTTAATACTATTATTTGGCATATTTACTTTTAAAAACAATTTATTTATTTTTTTTTAGGTTTAAGATAACCTTTTTGGTCCTAGCTTTTTATTAATACTTATGTTGGGTATATATTTTATACAAATGTATCTATATTGAACTATCAGATGAGTGTACAACTGGCTATATATGTAACTTTTCTATATTAACTATTTAAAGAGTTTATTTAAGGGTTTCTTACTAGTTGTCATATCTAATATCTCTGCTTATATGTTTTATTTAAACCCTCTGATCTGATTCTAGTATTAATTTCACTAGATCACAGACTCAGATTTATTCACTTTTAACTATAGAACTATAATCCTTAGACTATTTTTATCCTTAAGACAAATCTACCAGAGTGAGTCATATTTTTTTTTACTACTAACCTGGTTTGATGCTATGGCCGAGACTAACACTTGCAATTAGAGTTATCTTTTAAACTGCTATTACTTTTTAAAGTTTATCCAAATCTTAGTATCCATCTTTCTAACTTCTTCTTTATAATTCTTTACTAGCTGCAAATCAGAACTAACTAACTCTTCAAACTTTCAATCCAGATAGCCCAATATAGTATACTTATATCTTCTTTTTCTCTAATAAGTTTAGCAGCCTAGTTGGTCATATACTCTTCTACACATTTTTATTATTTAGTTTATCTGACAGTTTCTATAAAGGTGTTTTATGGGCTTTCATTAGTTCAATGGCATCATCGCAAGTTTGTACTACCTCTTTACTTAGGATTTTCAAATAGGTTTTTGGCTCCTCAGTTTTTTAACCTTCTATGCCTGATGGTCTTATTATGGGTTTGCACTAAAGCCTTATATAACACCTGTTTTTTATATTATTCTATATATATGTAATATTATACTTTATATAGATGCCTTGAGCTTTTAATGTCAGGTAGGACTTGACTTAATGTACTTAAGATTACAGATGTCCAAAGCCTAACTGATTAGCATAAGACAGTTATCAAAATTTATCATCTGTAAGAATTGAACCTTAGATCTGCCACTTGAGGGTTAACAAACTATTTAATTTACTAGGTCATTATATCCTATTAAAAACAATTTATAAAACTATAAACTGATATTATTTCTTAAGACCTTTTTATTTTAATCAGTTTCAACTATTACTAGTACAGTTAATAAGATAACTATTATCTTTAATATTTCTATTAAATTTTAACTAACTACTATTAAATTATATAATAAAACTCTTTTTTAAAAATTTTTTAAGTTAAAAATAATACAACTACTAAGTAGTATAATACTAAAATCTTAGCTTTTGCTTTAAAATTGAATACAAAACTTTGATATTTATACTTAAAATAATAATAATATTGCAAAAACTTTTAATAACAAATATAAACTTCTAAAATTCTTTATTTATAAAATTCAAACTCTTTTTACAAATTACAATATTTTCTATACTATTTAACTAGAAATTTAATTATCTAGATATTGCTTTTTTTTTTTTTTTTTACTAAAACAAAAAACACAATTTCTCTATATTAAAAAAAATTTAACTCTTTTTATCAAAAAATTATTAAAAAATATAAAACATTGTATAATATTTTTTTGGTTAACAAAATATAATAAAAATTAAATATACAAAAAATACAAATTAAACTTATATTAGACTATATTTGTAATTTGAATTTTTTTACAACTAGATTTTATTTTATTTTATATTTTTTTACAATTAAAGTTTCTGTCTATAAGGATCAATGTTTTTATTCATGTATTTGAATATGGGTACCTCTGGAGGCTCCCTTACATTAGAGGTTACAATTAGTTATACATGTACTTTTAATGTCTAATTTAAGTAGTTTGCCTATATATTACTATACAAATTCTATACTAGGTACTATACCTGCAAACCAACTACAGATCTTGCCTATTTAAACCCTCTGTATATGCAGTCTACTATGTCTTACAATGACATCTTTAAGGTTACACCTATATAAAGTACCTGATGTCTTTAAGGTCTCTTAAAACTAATTTATCCTTAATAGAAAATTTACTAAAATCTTTTATATTTTATACATAGCTGATCTAGTTTTATATAACTTGCTATAGTTGCCTAATACTTGCAGTCACAGAAGTTATCTGTTTAACTGCTATATTATATTATTTCTAATCTTGTAAAGTTTACTAGAACTCTAGTACCTATCATTATGACATCTTCTCTATCATTCTTTACTAACCACTATTCAGAACCAACAGGACTCTTCCAACTTCCAATCCAGATAGCTCAATATAGTATACTTATGTATTTTTTTTCCTCTGACAATTCCAGTAACCTAATTGGTCATATGCTCTTCTATATATTTTGTTATTTAATTTATCCATCTATTCTTATATGAATGTTTTATAAGCTTTTATTAGTTTGACTGTACCATTAAAAGTTTATACTATCTCTTTATTCAGAAATTTCTGAGTAAGCTTCTGACTTTTCAGTTTCTTAGTTTACTACACCTAGTAGTCTTATTATGGGTTTGCACTGAAACCTTATATGATACTAGTTATACATTCTTCTATGTACATATAACATTACACTTTGCATAAATGTTCCAAGCTCCTATTTGAGATGGTGCAACTTAAGGTTACAAATACACCAATCCAACTGATCATCAAGAAACAATTTGCCATAACAGGTATAATTTTCCAAATTTTGTTATAGCTGAAATTTGAACACTAGACCTGTCACTTGAAAAATGATAACCCAACCACTACACTATAATCACCATCCTTTACAACTAAATTTTATTAATGCATATAGCATATATTTTTGATAAATATGTAAACTTCTTTATAATTTATATATTTAACTTTTTATTTTATTTTTAATATTATCAAATCTAATTGATCTAAATATAAAAAAAAAATTTTTTTTTTTAATTAAAAATCAAAAACATATTTAAATTATTATATTAGCTCTTTACAAAATTTATTTTTTTTAATTAATTTAATAACAGTTTTTTTGAAAACTTTGTTATTTCATTTTTAGATAATTTTGATAACTTAAACTCAACTGTTTTTCAATTACTGATTAACTAATTCTATTATATTAACAAAATATAAATAAAAACTTTATCAATATTATGACTTTAAATACATTCTAGTTAATTATTTTAATTAATAATTTATTAGTTAACTAGTATATATTTTTTTTGTTATTAAGATAACCTCTTTGATATTTTGACTTTTATTAATAATTTTTTTTAGTAATGTAGTTCTATAGGATACGTATCATTTCATCGACAATCGCTTCGCCGAACACCCCATCGCACAGAGCGATGGTTAATATTTAACGATTGTTTGATGATTAATAATTATTGTTCAATATTACTCATTACGCTGTGTGATAGGGTGTTCGGTGAAGTGATCGTCGATGAAATGATACATATCCTAACTAATCAATGATATCATGATCGTTTAGATTGATTTCCGGACAATCACATGATCATCCGGAGCACAACCTGGTACACATTTTCGATTTGCAATGCTGTATATATATGACGGACCCAGTCTATAAATTGTGTAATAACTAAATGCAGAAATGTAGTAAAAATTTTCTTGATGCATTTTTGTTTATTTGTAAATATATTACTTTCACGATAAATGAATGAATATATGATACGTATAAAAAAAAAAATTTAAGTGTACTACATTAATGAAAATTCAATAATGAATGAATCCCAAATCCAACACTTTGACAAACCTATTTAACCAATAAATAATATACATCCTGTAAAAAAATATATATATTTATAAATTTACACAAACATTCTAAATTGAAATTCATTCCGTCTTATCTTGCATTATTTCTTGTAATGCTTCCTCAATATTAGGCGCGTGGCCTGAATGCCAGAACCATTCACTGTCTTCCCTTTTCTTAATTGATTCATCATCACTGTCTTCATGATGTGATGACCCCGAAGATATTCCAGCCTTTTCTAGCAATCGTTTTTTCAACTCATACTCCTCTTTTTGTACGAGATCATCTGCCGCACTTGGTAAAGCTTCCAACATTTGTTTTATAACATAATGAACTACGTTGAAAATATGTTCAGTAAACCAAATAAGAGCGATGACCACCACCACTGATAAAGGAGATGTAAGGACTTTGTTATCCGGATGATATATGTAGATAAAAGATGGATTTGTAATTGATGAAAACCATGTAAGAATTACCTATAGAATATAAAGACAATAAATTTATTTTAAACAATGAATTAAAAAAAACTAGGAATGATGATCATTATCAAATGGATAAAAAGAATTAAGACTATTTATTTAAACATACTAAATTATCAAGCCATGGACCAATACTATCAGCTCTCCTAGGAATTGGTCTCCTTGTATGCTCGCATATTTTTATTGCATCAGAACGGAGTTCAATCCAATTGTTTATGAGCGCGAATAATGGCGTCAATGGCCAAACCGTAGAAAACAAGCATACGTAACCATACTGTGAAAAATAATTATATTAAGTTACCAATTTAAAGTATAATTTGAATCATCTTATATAAATACCTGTGTAACCATTTCCGCATAGTCTTCATAAATTTTATAAACTGGCAATTTCACTTCTTTCCTAACTCTCTTTAAGAATGCTGATTCATCTTCGTTTCTCCCGCCGTCTTTAGTAGCACCATTATTTTTAATCCTTTTCATACTAAATGATCCAAATCGAATCAGATATGGTAGGATGAGCTCCATAAACAAGTTCAACACTTGAGCTGTCAGGACAAAATATTTTAGTTCAGTCACGAGCCTTTCCGGTCCGACTTTCTTAATGGTCATCGAAAAGCCAAACCGATTGAATAATTCTTGGAAGAAATATCCAATTTCTGTACTGAATGGGACGTAAATCCATCCTATAAAGAGTATCGACAAATAACTAATCAGGAAATTAGCCACACAAATTTTTTGTGTTAAATTGAATTCATAGCTTGACTCTGTTTCATAGTTTTCATAATCATTTAATCGTTTTGCGACATTGATATAAAAACTATTCAAAGTCGGGATTAGCAGGCAATATATAATGGTCGGAAGGAAAATCTAAAGCAATAAAAATCATGGATTGTTATTATATTAACATAAATCAATATCGATATCGCATATAATTACATACTAATTGATCTCTGAAAGGTCCTGAGTAATATTCAGACATTATGACTTCAATCATTATGTAAAAGAGTAAAGATAATGATAAAGTTATGCTGAAAATGAGTATTACAGGCGCTGCGAGGGTCCTCCTTAGCCATCTTCTCCACGGAGAAAAATATGGGACTTGTTCACCAGTAACAGGATTTTTGATAAAGCATTCTTCCCTAAATTCAGTTCTGCGTCTTTCTATACGTGAAAAATGACGAACTCCCCACCACACAGCCAATTCATATTCTTTACGACGCCAGAATTCGACAAATGTAACTGACCAAATAACAGTGAATATACTGAATGGTATTGAATATTGTGCACCAGAATAATATGTCACTAGTCCAGCAATTGCTGGCATAACAAGCCATTTACAATAAAATTGAAGGAACGCAAAATAATATGCAATCTGGATAACCAAACCAATTAATTGTGATTTAAAAAAAATATCAAAGATGTTTAAAAGAAAAAAAAGAACTTGATACATACTTTTTCACCAAAATGGTTTCTTAGTCGAAGTAAATCATCTTTATCAATCATCCATTTCGTTGACCAGGCTATCATCCAATCCTTAAAAAAGTGATGATAAAAAATTTTTTTTTTAAATAATGAAAAAAAATTTTTTATAAGAAAATCTAAGGAAATTCAATAGCAACCTCATTATAGGATCTATCTTGAAGAGGTAAAAAGCCTTCAATCAATTCAAAATCACTTAATCCTGGATTAATATTGGCACCTCCTTCGGAAAGAGGGTTTGTAATTATATCATGTACAAGACGCAATCGTTCTGCGTCTGAAAGAGGCCCATCTATATTCTCATCAATATCGCGAATACGAGCACCTACGAGCCAATCATGGATTCTATGGTAAAATGTCAGTTAATTAAAGATTTATAAACATTATTTACAATTATTATAAAATATACCATTACCTTGACCTTTCACATTCCTGCTTAAGTCTATCTAGAGGACATAAGATAAATACAAAAATCAAGTCTTCGGATCCACGTCGAACCTCATACTTTAGGCCAACACGACTTAGTCGAGTTAATAGTTTTCTACACGTATCTTCAAGTTTTTTTCTATGTATTTCCCTCTCTACCTGAGATAATTTGCTGAATGGTTTTGAACGAATTATCGCTACAAAATCCGCAAAGACTTCTTTACTTTCCTTTGTGTTATGTATGTGATGAAATAACAAATTGCGGGTTTCTTGTACAACATTCGAAGCTGCTATCTTTGAAACAGCAGCTGTAACAGGAGCAAGTGGATTTTTTGAGGGAGTGTTGTTGGCCATTGAGAAATTATCAATAACGAAATAACGAAGAAAAAATTACAGATACATAGGATTTCGTTAATGATGTAATTGGCTATGATAAACAAAATAAACAAACTTTTACGTATGTGTGACGATGATTAACCTTTAACTAAATGCTTAAGGTAAGATGCACAATTTGTGCACTTTTGAAATCGAAATTTAGTGTTTTTAACGTTAATTATTTCTATGTGAGGCATTGAGTGATTTGAGTGATTTGAGTGAAAGAACGTCAAAATTCTTTAAGATGCCTAATTGCATGTATTTATACGATTTAATGATCAACATGCGACTAGGCACAAAAGTTAAATTTCCCAATTCTCTCCGGTAGTTTTCTTTAAGAATCCATGAGTGAATCTTTGAAGAATCTGTTTTTTTTTACATTGAATTATCCTATAAATAATGGAAATAATGGACTTTGAAATTAGAGCTTATGATTTTATGCACCATTAAAAGATATTATCGTAAATGCGGGTGATTTTGTTTGAGATTATGTGTAATCATGTGCTAAATGCCATATGTTAAGCTAAATTAATGTCTTGAGTATACTTCTATAGAAATAAAAAAAAACTTGATTGAACTCTTTACTATTTGTAGTTCCGATCGAAAACTTTATATCATCGCCACTGCTATAAATAGATAATAAATTTAATAAATTAAATCTGATCGTGATGGCAAAAATAAATTAAATTTAATATCGATTAGACATATTGCTGTATTGATTACATATTATATACGTCATCAGTCTGGGCTGAAAATAATAATTGAATCGACGCAAAAACATTTGGCTTAGTCTATTAAGTCGATTACTACCCCAAAGAAAACTTTAAAATTATTATAAAGTTCATACTTTAAGTAAAATTTTTTAACACTTAATATATATTACATATCTAAGCATTTTAATCCTAACCATTGATTTTAAACTTACAACACTGCTAAATAAAGTGTACCACCGGCGTCCTGGGGATCCCTAGGTTAAATCAAAAAAAAAACTTACAACACTGAATAATATGTACTACATGGATAAAAATTAGTTAAATAATAAGGCCATAATGTTTTGATTCTTATAACAAAAAATTTTAAAAAATGACCCGGCAATCCGGTTTTTAATTTTATTTTCGTAAACAACCAGAAAGAAATAGAAAAATCAAAAATAAAAATAGGTTAAATAGTAAAAAAATCCAAAAAAAGAAGAGGTTAAGAAAGTGAAAGCACAGTTTATAAGTGTTTTTAAAGAATGGTTATTAATAAAAGTAAAGTTGAAAGCAATTTGAACAGTCCTGTTAGCTGTACTAGAAAAAGCAAAAGTTCATATACATACAGATAGTGCAGTAGCAATACAAGCAATCAAAAAAAAAACAAAAGAAATAAGAAGTTAAAAAGCAATCTTAAGATCAAGAAACAAGCTTGCTATTGCACTAGATCAAGTACAAAAGGCTAAAAAAAATAAATATAAAATTTTATAATATAAAAGAATATAACAATAATAAATATAATAAAAAGACAAGTAGTTTAATAAAAGAAGTAACAAGATTAAACAAAATCTTAAAAATATATTAATTATTATTCAACTAATCATAAAAGATAAAGATTATTTAATAGGCAGTCTAATTTAAAATTTTGCAAAATAAATTATCGTACAGCCATGTTATTGATGACTGTACTAAAAATTTTCGTATTTGTATAAATAATCTACGCACAAAAAAATTTTAATTGAAAAATATAGAATATATATACTTGCGTAGTTTAATTTGATAACGTAATTACGAATATGATATAGAAGTATAGTTCTCAATAACTAGTAGTTATTGAGAACTATACTTCTATATCATATTCGTAATTACGTTATCAAATTAAACTACGCAAGTATATATTAGGGATTGAACCGTTTAACCGTTTAAAAATTGCTCCATAGTTCCGGGCAGAATTATGTTGGTCGTGGGCCGGAATTATTTTAATGCCGGCCGAATTAAACGGTTAAACGATTACAGCTGTTTTCATAAATTTTGGAACATTAGGTGAAAAATTGACCGAATTATTGTTTGGACGATTCGATAAGCTTGTGATATGGTAGTGATAAACTTTTTAACTTGAGTAATTAGTACGTATATATATTTTTAATTCATAGCGATAATATCTTCAGAACGACCCGACAATGTCAACACATTTAAATTAGGCTTTCGTTTAAATACATGTTCAGTACATTTGGTAAGTTTAATTTGTACAAGAATTTATGATGAAGATTGTCCTTTAAAACATAAAAAAAGATGTGAATATGAGATTAGCTTTCATAGTAAATATATTACACAAGTAGGCACTAATAAAAAAAAAGTTCGATACGATCAAGTGTCCAAACTCATGCGATTTAAACCGCATTTTTATGAGGTATACGAAAATTTGAATATGCGATATCAGTGTGAATAAAAATTAAGGGAAATAAGAGTTAGTTCAACATATTAATACATAAAGTTTTTGGATTTAATAATCGTAATATTGACATAAAGTAATATAAATACAATAATATTGACATAAAAAAAAAATCTAGAAATTGCCTAAAAAAAAAAAAAAAATCAAATTACCTATTATGATACAATAAATTTAACATTGATAGAGAATTTTCAGAGAGATTATGTCATCTATCACTTAAGATATTTTTGTAATTGTTGAAACTTTTTTCAACATCTATACAGAAATAGGCAATTATATATACAGTATAATAAAATAATATTTGAAAAATAGGGTGATTCTTTTAATTTTTCTTTCCAATATTGATTCGAATCTAAATTACTATTTAATTCTTCCTCTAATTCACAATAAATACTTCAATTATTTAATAAATCATTATTTGTAGTTTTAAATTCTTTAATAACAAGATATAACTCTATATTTTGTCATATTACTGAAGTATGAATAAAATTAGAATCAAAACATTAAATAACTTAAAAAAATGGTAAAGCTAAATAATGATCAACATGTTTAACAAGTTTGTCAAATTATAATTAAAATGTTTGAGAAAACATTGAATTAAAATATGAGTAATTTAGATTTTTTTTAGAAATTTTGTTATGCATAAATGCATTAACAATGAATTTTTAATACTTGCTTGCAATTTTGTCTAAGTTTGATTAGAGTAGTTAGTAATATTAAATTTAGTTGTTAGATATTTCTATATAATTGCAAAATTTTAAGAATCTTAACAAGTATTAGTATAACTATTTAAAAAAAAATTAAATTAAAAAATAAAAATAATAATATTAAAATTATAAAAAATAAAACTAATACAGTCAGACCTTCATAAGTGCACTTCTATAAGTGCACATCCTTTATAAATACACTATAAGGTCTGATTCCAAACAGAAACCATAGTTTTAAGTGCACACCTTCTATATTCTGCATATGCATTTGATTTTGTGTTAAGGTACTCTCTATAAATATACTATCACATAATTACAAATTATCTTGACCAATAAAATTTGAATGCACAAAGTAGTTAATCCAATATATAATCAAGATTTATGCTTTTAAAATACAGTAAATGTGAATACTAAATCAGGCATAGATCGAAAGTACAATAATAAGTTAGAACAATTAGTAATTGAAAATGGTAATTAAAATAAAATATACAAGATTAAGTAAAAAAAAAACTTTTAATTCAAAAAAAAACCAGCTATGAATACTTATCTGAAACAAGTAACTTATTACAAAGTATAGTTATAAAAGAGAAGATTTAAAGATTCTTATAAATTTATTACCAGTATATGATAAGTCTAAAAAGAAAGACTTAGTCTCTATACTATTATAAATCTGGATTAATTAAATTCATGTCTGGATTATATCTTAAAATCAAGGACTAAAAAAATCTGAATTAAATCCAAATTATTTTAATCTACAATCTTTTTTAATTAATGCTTTAATAAATTTTTTAAATAATTAAAACAAAAAAAAAAATTGAAAATGTATTCAATAGTGATTGTAGTGCTTTAGTAAATTTAAATTTTAATAAATAAAGTTTTTTCATTCTTCTAAACAAAAAAAAAAACTCTTCTATATAATATTTCTTGTAATGCTAAAAAAAAATAACTCTAACAGACAATCAAAAATTTGAGTTCTGTGTTTATGCCTATAATAACAAAAGAACTTGTTCAGAATATGTAAAGTAGATTGAAAACAAATAAGATATTAAATTTAATGAGTCTACAATTATATGAATCTTGTAAACTAAAAATCAAAGGCTTTCAAATAAAGTTACAAGTTCAGAGACTAAGCATCATAAAGCTGTTGCTGTTTCAGAGCTTAAGCTTGCATTCAAGGAATTTATACTAATATATCAGCATTATACTATTTTAAGTGATGCTATGATAGTTAAAAAGATCAAATTATTAGCAGAGAAACTTAGTGTTTCTGAAAGCAAGTTGCAATTTTTAGCTAGATGACTTCAAAAATTTAAATAATGAAATAGGATCTGTCAAATAAAGCTTTATGGAGAAGCAACATCTGTTAATAAGAATGTTGTCACTGAATCTTTACCATTGTTACAGAATAAATGCACTAGATACTTTCTTGATTACATATATAATATGAATGAAACAGAGCTTTTTTATCAGTAGTTTTTTTTTTAAAAAAAAAATTTGATAAAATTTTTTTTAATAAATTTTTTTTTATTGCAGATTGGAACTAGATTGAACCTTAGCAACATAATGAAATGCAGGGTATAAAAAGAATATAAAACATCTTTTTGTTGAATTATATATAAACACTGATGGGCCCTACAAATTACCTTTTCTTATAATTGGCAAATATGTCAGACCATGATGTTTCAAAAATGTAAAAATTAATAATCTGTCTATAATGTACAGAAATAATACTAAAGCTTAAATGCTTATAATTCTTTTCCAAAAATAGCTTTAGAAATTTGACTTTCTGGTGTTACAAAAACATAATAGCCAGCACATTCTTTTACTTCTTAACAATTATTCTAGTTA